CTGTGACCCAACACCCTATTGGTTATTGTTTCCACGTCCTTGACTCTAATCTTCCTTGACCCCGTGACACTAGGCAACCTCGCCACTGTCATCTCACATGAGTCACACACTCCATTCAGGGCTAAACTGACACCAGTCCTAATGATTTTTTTATGAGTAATACTGCAGGCAGGAGGCGAGTGAACGTTAGCCTGGCGTAGCTTCCACAACAGTATAATTTCAGGCTTGAGGGAAGAGTGAAGAGTTGATCGCCCGTGTTTACTCTGTTATTATGGTATGACCTTAAGTTCTTACCAGCGGTCAGTGGTGTGTAGGACGCTAGAGGTGGGTGGGCAAAACTACTTCAAGGCCTTTATAGATCTATGCACGGATTCTCATAGCTACGCAATAAACTATAGTTCACTCAATCATCAAGATAGCAGCCTAAAAAGTCTCAAAACTTCGTCGACGAGTCTCTTATTTAACTAAACACATCATCCGCATTTAAGGGGAAAAGGCTTACGAGTCTGAGAATTCGGCTCCTTCTACATTACTCTAATTAATGTCGCCTCCTCCCACTGGTTAGTCACCCTTGGAAGATCTTAAACTGTCCGAATTATTTTGCCGTTTCTTTTGGTTGAAAAGTTATTTATACTGCAGGAGACAGCAAGGAATGTAGGGCGCGCAAATGGTCATGTAGAGCTTTTAGAAGCGTCTTTGTGGCTATTAAGAAACTACAGTACTTGTATGTTTGAGTTGGTATCTCACAAACCCGGCAGACACGTGACGCAGCACCAGCCAGGAGTTAAGGAGACTCATTCATCATGATCAAGGTTTATTTTTTATCATAACTCAAAACATTAGTTAAGAACTTTTATATAAATAGGTTAATTAGAGAATTATATAAACCATTTAATTTCCCATTAAAGATTTATGTAAACTGTTTCATGAAAGCATTGCAAGGATAAACTTTCAAGTATGCTCACATGTTTTAATCAGGGTAATCATTTATGGACACCCTGTACAGTATAATCAATTTTATTTGGTTCATTGCAGGACGATCACATTTTGACCATGTTAATTTTAAAAAGCCACAGTTCACCTAGAAATAATATATAAAGAGAGAAAACTAAAATATGTAGTATAATATAGAGCAGCTTAAAAACAGCATGAAGATGGCACAAGAAATAAAATAATCACGGCCAGGGGAGATGGTTGCGTGCAATAGTGGCGTGCGCTTGTAACTGTACTTGACAGTTTTATGAGCCGTGTCCTCCCTCTCCCTCACAAAAAAAGGATAAATGGGTGAATGAATGAAGAACTTGAATGATTTTACAGATAAACTAGAGGAAAAACAAAAATTGACATTAAAAGTGATATATGTACGTTAGTTATATACCATAAATGTCTTTGTTAATCTACCCAGGGTATTTTTTTCACCGAAGAGTAAATCCTGTAAATTTGAGCATATACCGTCGTCAAACCCGGCTAACAGGGTCATTTTTCGAGGGTTAACATTAATAAGGGGCTTATGTAAAAAGGAAGAGGGGGTAAAATAAACGTCGTACGCCCACCAAGCTGCCAAAACTGAATCCCTTTAGCTTGTTTGCGAAAATTACTGGAGGAAAGACTCAAGAGATCCGCCCGTCACCCCATCCCAAATTATCTTACAACAATAAAACTGGCTTGGGCTGACATTAACATGGGTTGAATTTAAAAGACATTTAAAAATACTATACCCATACGACACGCAAAAGAAGTCAAATTAAATAATGGAAGGATAATGGTAGTGTTTGCAAGTCCAGTATTACGCCCTCTTATTAAATAATGGCGTCTGCCCAAGAACACACACACCAGGGAACACTTATTACCATGTATCATCACTGCATATTATTAACACACTGTCTTCAGTTGTCTCTATAACTACGCCTACATATTTTTCCTTATCAACAGTATCTAAGAAAGTATTATTCACAGAATAAGTGCGATTGGGGTTATTGTAACTCACACGTCGTCTTAAATTTTGAAATGTTAAAAAGCATTTACCAGTACATGTGTTTTTGAATGGATGCGACATCATTTTAGCTTGCCGCCATCGCAAAGACCTTTGTGTCGTTAGCAAACTTGATACTGCAGTTCTATGTTTTATGATCGATATCGTTAATGTAGATCACAACGGGGCGAGTCCAAGCATAGACCCGTGTGGTAATCCAGTGAGAACCTATTTCCATTCTGAATAATTACATAGTCCGCAATGTTTTTGTTTTTGTTTTTATGCTCTGGTATTTCTTCTACAGGTGGTATTTTCTCTTGATTACTCCTGGACTTGTGATTTATCCGTCTGGACTTATTCCCTCGCTTCTTTGAATTCTTGAGTTTACTTTTTTTCTACTTCTGTCTCAAGGATTTCCATAAATTTTTGCCACGAATCACATGTGTCTGATTCCTCCTTAACAACATCTTCCCAGTTCACACTCTGTAGTGTATCCTACATGAGCTGGTAAGCCCCACGGTTGAAGTTATAATATTGTTCCTCAACTACTTTATCCCGACTTTCGAAGACTGTTTTCCTCCTCAGCATGTTGTGGTCACTGACCGGAGTTAGTTTTCCCCCGACGTGGACCTCTTCCACCACTGCATCCTCAGTAGGTCAAGACAAAATCGAGAATGTTGCCTCCCCTGTGGGTTTATCGTCACGTGCTGTGTGAGGATTGACTTTTAAATGAGGTCAATTTTGTAACGACACAGCTAGATGCATACGCACGTGCGTTTAGGCTTTTCTCCTCATGCTACCGGTGAATTTTCTCTAAGTTGTCTTGTAAATTATTTTGTAAAGCGAATCATAATCATCCCAGCTAAAACTGTACCCTAGTAAGGCAGCATATCGTGTCCTTGTTGTAGCTGTGTCACATAAGCAAATTTGCGGATGACACCAAAATAGGGCGGCAGATTAATTCAGGGCAGGATGCAAATGCACTACAGGAGAATTTAAAAAAGCTGCAGGAGTGGTCAGAGAACTGGCAAATGAAATTCAACACCAGCAAGTGCAGCGTGCTTAATATTGGTAGAACAACATCAACCTAGAAAGGTCGACTTGTGAAAGAGACTTAGGGGTACTTGTAAGCCCGGACCTACGGCCTAGAAAACAGTGCGTTAATGTTCGAAATAAGGCAAACAGAGTATTAGGTTTTATATCTAGAAGTGTAAGTAATAAAAGTGCAGAGGTCTTATTGCAACTATATATTGCGTTAGTCAGGCCGCACTTCGATTATGCGGCTCAGTTCTGGTGCCCTTATTATAGAATGGATATCAATTCACTGGAGTCAGTGCAGCGAAGAATGACGAAAATGATTCCGGGACTTAGAAACCTTCCATATCAAGATAGGTTAAAGAAACTAAACTTGCATTCCCTAGAAAGACGAAGAGTGCGGGGAGATATGATAGAAGTATTTAAGTGGGTGAAAGGAATCAATAAAGGCGATATAGATAAAGTTCTTATAATATACGAGCAGGATAGGACTCGTAGCAACGGATTTAAGTTGGATAAGTTTAGGTTTAGGAGGGAGATAGGAAGGAACTGGTTCACAAATAGGGTGGTGGACGAGTGGAACAAGCTTAGCAACTTTGCAGTAAGTGCTGAAACGCTGGAGAGTTTTAAAAAGAGGCTAGATAGATTCATGGATGATAGAGAGTGGTAGTAACTCTGGACATGAGCTGCCATGCACAGGCCAACCGGCCTATTGCATACTCCTTATTTTCTTATGTTTTTATGTTCTTATGTAATTGACCTCGGCGGCACAGAAAATTAAATATGGTTTAATTAATTCCAATGTTCTCACTGAGTGACGTGATGATCAAATAGATGTCATAGTCACTGTCCAAGAGGTGTGTGACTGGGTATAATGGCTCAGTCATATCCGGTCACAACTATGTGTCAGTGACAGTGTCACGTAGACAAAAGACCTCCAGCAGTCGAGCTAGTGAACATTATGACTGCTGTTGGTGGAAGAAGGCTGGAAGTAGTATTTTTTTCTGATTCTATACATTTTCCCACGAGTTGTCAAGGAAGAATACTGAGCAGCACCAGACCAGATTGAATTAGTTAAAACAAAAGTAAATTGAGTACTTCATCTTGCTTGGTAAACATAAGTGGTATCACCTCGTCGGTAAAGTTACGTTCGTAAAGATAGTACTGTACGTATTGTAAACAAGAGAAACTGTGTCGTTACCTGCAGGGTATGGAGGGGATGTGTGGGGGTTACTGTTGGAAGAGGTAGGGACGGTAGCAATCTATGTCGGGATAATTTGAAGCGTGGTATGAAAAAAAAATAATTGATTTCAGGAACAGTTAGGATAGAAATAAACGAAGGTAAAGAAATTAATCATAGGAGTAATATATGGACCCCCAGAAGTGACCGTCGCGCGACCAGTTAAGAAGCTGACAGGTAGTAAAAGGGTTAAAAATAAGGCAAGTTAAGTGAACAGAGTTTGAGAGTGAGAATTCATAGATCTAGTTGGAACACGGTAAGAAGTATAGATATGAATAAGGAAGGACCCCAGTGGAAATAAGCCTGGACTGGCTTTCTTGGGATATTGATTTGAATCGAAATGCCTTTTTGTTTTGTCTGAACTGCCTGTATGTACAGTATGTTGAACCAAATTGAATTTGTGTTATTTTTAACCGAATAAACATCTATCTATGCATCATCGCGGAATATAAATCGATTACTAAAGCTTCATGACCCATTTTTTTCTTGGATCTTTGTATTAGATAAAACTGGTAAATTGTTTTATCTTTAGGACCAACATATTCCTCGTCATTTTGTTGAGAAAAAGTAATCTACATTGTTTTACTTAAAGCACATACCGTTTGTAGAGACGATTTATATATATATATATATATATAAATATATATATATATATATATATATATATATATATATATATATACACACACACATCAAGGATTCATTATTAAGTGTACAGGAAGGTTAGTTTGTCTGGCGCGGCGTGTCATGAGTGACGCTGGCCGCCATCTTTGTTGTTTAGGTTGTGTTTGTTTTTAGCGAGATGGCGATCAACCCGAGGAAGGACGGAGGCCCTAATGTCAAATATTATGAGTCTACTGAGACTGTCTCTCAATTCGAGCACGTCAAGACATGGCTAATGAAAAATGCGAAGAAGGTTTGGAAGACTTTTATAGCATATTTACAGAGAAATTCGACAGAAACATTGGTCGCGTTCCACGCCGGGTGCTTTTGTTTGACATACACTTAATAAATTCAATGTTACTAGTGTTGTTTTGTAAAGATATCCGTTACGATTATATGGAAAACTTACAACTATTTCTTTCTTGACTCGTTAATTTCTTATTTGAGCATTACCGGAATGGTATTTTATGAACCATGATGTGTGGTGAGTGAAGGACGGGGCCAACCATCGCTGACATACTCCACTAAGAAACTTAACAAAAGCTATTTAGTTTTGTGATGCAGGTTTTAGTGAGGTGGTGGGTAGGTAAAGGTGTATTTTAGGGTTGCCATAAAAATGATGCTGTATATTATTGGGAATGTCAGTTTGTCCTAACGTAGTGGATATTTTGACGTGGCTGGCTAAGGTCCTAATGACGCTATTTTACCGTGAGTTGATTATACTCCATACTAATTGCACATCTTAGCATGGGCTTAGGGGAGGTGAGGTGAGGTGCGCGGGGTCTGGCTGGATACTCGCCTCACCGCACTTGACTGAACCACCCGAGATATAATTGAACGTAATGAATCATAGTAAGCTTGCTTTTTTTTTTTTTTTTTATAAATTTTACAATTTACATATATACTGTATACATATTACATATTAACATTTGTAAACTTGCTATTTGATATAAAAAAGGTGAGGTTTGTTGCCTTAGCATTATAAATAAAGGTTATTGTTCGGTCCAGCACATCTTCAAATAGCATAAAAGCGCTTACTTTTAGGCAATTTCAACCTCATACTGTATATACATTCCTCAATCCTTGAAGCCTCTAGATCTAAACAAAATACATCAGAAATCAAACATCTCGTGAAAATATTTAAGGGTGTGCTAAAACGAATAATTACCTAAATATATTATCCACAAATAATTCTATATAAGTAATCACAATAAAATAATTATTTCTATACGTAAGTGCGAGTAGAGCACCAAATTTTTCTTTATGCTCAAAAGGAAACGTTTATACATCACTTTATACCTTTGTTATTTCATGTGATTGCAATATTATCTTTATTCTCTTATAAAGCATGCATGGTTAGTAAAAATAGTTACAGAAGAAAAGTTGCTAGGTAATAGTGGTGTAAATTGTGTGTTCTGATGTGTGTGTCCAGGCCAAGGGCAGATTATTCATTTTTCCCTCTTGAGCACGAAAGATAATTGTACATATTGAGTCATAGAGAACTTACTATTGGAGATAAAAAGGTCGGGTTTGTTGCATTAGCATTGTAAATACATTATTTACAAATAGTTTTCTTTAGGTAATCACAATAAAATGATTAAATCAACATGTAAGTTTAACACAAATTGTAGTGCGAGGCTGCCACCCAAGCTCCCAATTCCAAATATTCCTCACTCAAAATTTCTATATTTAAAAAGAAAAAAAGATGTGTTTATAACTATTATTTTTGAAATTCAAATGCAATAATAACTATAAATTATTGGTTAAATGTAATGCTTAAAAATATTTATATATATTTTTTAATGAAAATAAATGAATTTCTGTACAGCCTGTACTTACATGTTGTTAGATGTTGGAGCACTTGGTGATGCCCCCCCTTCCCGCCCTTTCCCCTCTTCCTCCATGCCCCACAGTGCCGTATTTAGCCTGAACAAGGCGACTAAATCAAGTTTTAATGGGAGTACTGGTCATGAGTAGTGCACATTTGTGAGGGATATGAGCTGTCATGAGGTAAGGCATGCTGTGATGGCTGAGATACCACACATGCAACACACTGTTTTCTTTTAGGCACAATGATATGCCGGGCGGTTCCTTTTGCACTCGGGCTGCTTGTTGAAGGGTCAGACAAACTATCACTTGTGCTTTTAATGTTTTCTCACCCCTCTACCTTTACCATGCAACATGAGGCATGGTTCAAAACTATCACGACACTGTTATCAATAAATGAAATCGCTGTGATGAACGATAAATCAGCACAAGCCACGAGAAAATGGTGGGAAATGTGGGTCAAGGTTACGTCCTCTGCTGTGTGGTCACTCACATAACCTAAGAGGTCATCTACGTAGGTGCCAGATCACACCGACGTTACCAAATATCTTGCATATCTAGCATTCATGAGAAAACATAAAATTGTTTTATTGCAATTTTTGAGTTCATATGCAAATTTGCATATGAAAACCCCAAGAGTGTTAACTGTCTACTGGACAACCTTTCACCTTAAAGAATAAGGTACTGGATACAGGTATGGCAACCGTATATGAAACACCTGTGTCTATGGCAGCCTAATGTGCATGCGTGATGGGCAAACTATACTGTACAATGGTAGTTACTAAGATGGCTTCTTTGTAACTAACCTTTCCATTAACAACACAGTCTGTCAATACGGCTGCTGTACCCATATCCGGTGTGATTTTTGGCATACGGCTGCTGTACCTATATCCACTATGAAAAAATAAATACTGTACTGGTAACGATTCATTTTATGCCATAACGAGAAATTCATTACAAAAAATGGGACTTTCTTTTGTATTTTTTCCTCTTGTAAATGAATGACTTTCATTTCCATGGGAAATGCACATTAATGGGGATATAACCCCTACACTAGCAATGACTTTGATTTCTTTCAAAGTGGACAGGCCTTTGAAGGTGAGGGAAAATGAGGGGTTAAAACACACACAAAAACACCAAGTAAAACTTTGAAAACCTTACCTAACCTAGGAAGGTCCTAATACAGCCCTACCCATAAAGAGCTTACCTTATTTAACCGATGGCAGAAGTAAAGGTGAATCTATTTATGTTTATTCATGTTTTCGGTGTTTCGTCATTGATTCTCTTCTTGTTTTTGGTGCTTAGGTTATGAGGAAGGCAGAACTCGACTGAATATGTCTACATAAAAATTCTTTGCACGTCTGAATGTCCAGAGATTTGAACTGTCCTCTTGATTGGTCAAAGACCGTGTGAAACTCACGTAAAATTTATTTGAAAATAAAATCCTGCAAAATTTTGTTTAGTGAGCTTAAAATCTATCAGTATTGTTGTATCTTGGTCCTGTGTAGATCATGTCCACCAAACATGATTGGTCGTGTACAAAACCAGATTCCTCAAATAAATTTTTGTGTATCCATCACCCAAAAATAGTGAGATTTTGGGTAATGTCATTAATAAAATAGGTTCCAAAGGTTGAGTTTTTATTCATTTATTTTTAACTAGGTGTGCACTCATTTTCCCTCGTCTTCAAAGCTCTGCCCATTATGGAAGATTTGTCATTGCTAGTGCTAAAAGAGTTATATCTCCATAAATATGTATTTCCCACAGAAATAGAGGCAATGCATTTATATTAAAAAGAAAAAAAAAAAAAAAATTTCTTCAATTTCTTATTATGGCATAAAATAAATCTCTGCCATAATACTTTCTTGGTAATCTTTTATTTAACAGGTGTAAAATCACGAGCACCTTTGTTGACATTTGGTGAGACTGGGAATTTTCTTAAGTACCAGGTACTGCTGTACAATATATACATTATAGAATTCATGATTCTTAGAATGAACTAAACTAATCTACCTAACCTGGTAAATTTTTGCTTGTTGCCAGTACGTGTATATGAAATTAAAGTTGAAACTATGTTTTTCCGATCGTTTCTGATGTGTTATGAAAGAATTTTACTTTCATTTCTGGTGCAAATCAATATTTTCCGAGATAAGCCCCCCTCCCATCTCAGAATCTAGAGATTTGCTCTAAAAATCAAGGTGAAAAGTGTTCAAAACACCATCGAAAAACAGTTTTGAATCTAACCTAACCTAACCGAGGGAGCTACACAGTTGTTCGGTGTTCTGGGTGAGTACCACCACATATGAACATGCATAATAAAATATTAAATATCTTACTTAAATGTAATTTGCACCAGAAATGGCATTGAAGTAAGGTGTCTTAGAATTGTCAAAATTACCGATTACGACTATAAAATTCACGAAATTTGTTTAGTGGCAACAAGTGAAATAATCAGAAAAAATTTATTAAAATCGTGAGTGTACCTTCAAGTCCATGCTTTATTAATAAAGTAATAAAGCACAGACTTGAGGTGTAGACTCACATTTTTAATAAATTTGTTTCTGATTATTTGTGAGAGGATTTCCAATTATTATTTATTTGTATGTGTTTTGTGTGTGTGTATGTACACACACACACACACACACATTTACAATACTACAGATAAAGGAAATTACTTTCTCTAACAAATGGCTCCCTGTCCCAGCAGCAAAAATGCCGGCAACTTTAAAACTACCCGCAGACATTCTTGGGTACATCCATGGTGTCATCCGCAAATAATAGAGGACCACGAAATAAAAATCCGCAAACTTGGGGGCCCCCTGTACTGTACAAGATGAAATTTTTGTCTTTCAAATTTGTCAGTTACTACCATTTTTTTTTTTCCGATTTCATATGTGCTTTGTGTCTTACTGTATTTGTATTAATCTAGTTTTGTATTTGCAGTATGTGCAGGCAGATCCTCCAAACAACAAAGGGCTGTCACAGCTGGTGGTGCAGCTGTTGCAGTTCATGGAAGATAATTTTGGTCCAAAGGCCAGTAAGGCTCCTATGACTAAATTGCCGGTAAGTAAGATATTTACTAAATTTAATCCAGAACTTATTAACTTCCTTGTTCATCTTTTTTTTTATTGTCAAGTGTGGAGGGTGGGGGCTGTCTGTTTTGTAACTGCATCTTAAGTACAGTACAGTACATTACTTTACTAGTCTATTATAAGATATAAACAGCCTCAACAAAGAATACAGTACCATCAAACAGCAGTGTGTTTATATACTGTCTACAACACTAGAAATTTTGAAAATCAGGACAGACAAGTGCATGGAAGAGGTCTTTTCACTCTGAAGCATGGGACCCAAATTTCTGACTAAGAGTTCCAGCATGGTGATGTATGTTCAGAGTTCATCCCATTCTTCTAAGTGACACATTATTTCAAAATAATCATCTTGTTCAACTGAACAAGTAGCTGTTTAATGCAGCAATTTACATTTATCCAGGTGGATGATGTTCTTGTCTCTAATATACAAAGCCCTTGAACAAAGCAGAATCAGCTCGTGGGTGTTATATATTTCTTTTTTCCCTAGAATTGGATTTAGTATTTAAAGCTTTGATTTTTAAGTTGTCCCAAAGTTCATTATTGCCTTGTAGCACTGTATATTTTATCCCATTTTGTTATTTTTAGCTGAATAATCTATGAAATTTTAAGGTGTAATACATAATATTAAAACTTGTTGCAGATGAAATACTTCCTGGACTTTAAAACTGGTGGTGGACTGTGTCACATACTGAGTACAGTGTACAAATTCAAGAGCGACCAGGGTTGGCGCAGGTTTGACTTCCAGGTGTGTACTCTATGTCTATACAGTATTTAAGGAACATTGGAGGTTAATGATGTAATTTTGAAGGTATCTGCCCTTTTGAAAGAAGGGCATCTAAAGTTGTAAAGATGGATTCAATTTTTTTTAGTGAAATTTGTAGTTTTGGTGAAAATGTCTACTGTATTTTAATTAAATACTTTAAGTATGATTAGACAATTTGCAATAAGATAGTCACACATAATTTTGAAATGTATTTGTGGAGCAACTGGAGAGAAAGAAAAAATTTATTTTAATTGACAATGGAAGATGTTTTCATAGCTTCAGTGGTATTGACAGCCATTGCTCAGTAAGGAGAACTACTTAACAATAAGGTACTGTACAGTACAGTAGTATGTTTTTGTAAAAAATGAGGTTTTGTGTGAAGTTTTGTTTGTGTGAACGATGTAAGGTTATGTAAGTGAGTTTGTGTAAAAGTGTGATTTGTGGGGAACAGTGTGTTTGTTCATAAAAGATTTTGTATGTACGGTATGCGTGTGTGTGTTAGAGAAAGAATTCCAGAGACTGTAAATGTATATCAGGACATGTGTGTAATGGTCCATCTGACCTATGAGACCCAAGTCACTTCCACTCTCCTCAGGTTAGAGTACTGTATACGTAATGTTTTTTAATAGACATATGAGGTGACAATTGATTCCCCCAAATCTAAAGGTAAGTCTCTGATATTTATCAAAGCCTTTAATATCTTTTCAGTCTCCGTCCCGAAAAGATGCCAATGTTGAGCTCTTCCGTGAGATTGAGAAGAGTTTGCTCTCTAATAAGTGTTGGAGCAAACCAACTGTCTTCATTCATGGTGAAGTAGATAAAGAACTGCGAAATGAACTCAAAGATATTGTCAAGCGACATGATGGAAAGATTGTTGGTAAGTAATTTGTATGATTTTATTATAGAAATTGAATCTTGCTACTTATCTTTTATTATCTGAACTATTTTTTAATTTAGTACAGTAAAACCTCGAAAAATCGGACTACAATATGTCGGAATTCACTTTTTTCGGACTTTGAGATGCTCTGGTCACCAGAAATACTAAAAAACAAAAACACGTTTTAAGAAATGGGGAAGATTAATAAAAAATCTTATGAAATGACCAACACTTACTGGATACTGTACAGTGGTCTAATCAGATTTGCTATAGGCCTACTGAGAACTAAGACATTTGAGTACCGTATATACTCGTGTATAGTTTGAGTTTTTAAGACCAAATTTTTAGGCAAAATATTGGGGGTCGTCCTATACATGCGTAATAGTTTTGTTAGGTTGAACCCGTGCATGATGGGAAGGGCGAGGAGCAACTTTTAGCTTCAGACATGAAAAATATTTACCATTTACTGCCAGTAAACAATGGAAACGTAAAATATGTACCAATTAGTAATGAAAAGTTGTGCAGTTCCTTCAGTAAATGAAGCTCACCAACTTACAATAGGCTAAATTACCTTACAACGTGCTTTCAGTAGTCTATGTTGAAGTTCTTAGCACAGGCTAACTTATCATATACGGTATCACAGTTCTCATTGATCTACAAAAAATACCGGTAATAAAAACCTTTTCGATATTTCACACTTAATATAATACCCGGTAATCTACTTCAACCTCCTATTGTTTACAACGACGCATCACGCACCACCAGCTGTATCAGCTAGACGGTACACGTGTTTTTCGAATCGTTTTCAGTTAAAAAACTGTTACATCACATGTATATTTTACCTTAACTGTGCCTGAATGAATATATTCTCGGAAATAAATAGTAGTTTTGCTGAAACGTGATATATTTTAATGTAAAATAGGATAAAATACATGACGAAAACAAAAGATTTTACCTAACCTTCCGATGTTCAAGAGAAGTTACTCGTTTTTTAATAGTTTTTGGTTAAAATATTGTTATATTACAATGGTATTCTATTCATACTGTGCTTGATATAATGCATTCACGGAAATGTAATATTTTTGCTGAAATGACGTACGTATTACAGTGGAAAGTGGGATAAAATCGTGACGAAAACAATGACTTTCGCTTTCTTTCGTTCAAAAGATGTTACCGTAATCGCTTTTCGAATGGTTTTCAGTTAAAAAACTGTTGTATTACGATAATATTCTATCCTAATTGACTTGAATAAATACTACGATACCATATTTCTGAATATTTTCATTAAAATCCATCAAAATCATTTTCCTTGTCATCGTCTGCAGCACCAAACAGCTTCTCCCAGTCCTCTCCTTGAACAGGGCTAGAGGGTACGTGTTTTTCGAATCGTTTTCAGTTAAAAAACTATTACATCACACGTATATTTTACCTAAACTGCGCCTGAATGAATATATTCTCGGAAATAAAAGTAGTTTTGCTGAAACGTGATGTATTTCAATGTAAAATAGGATAAAATACATGACGAAAACAAAAGACTTTACCTAAGCTTCTGTTCTTGAGATGTTACTCGTTTTTTTAATAGTTTTCGGTTAAAATTCTGTTATATTACAATGATATTCTATTCATACTGTGCTTGATATAATACATTCACGGAAATGTAATATTTTTGCTGAAATTACGTACGTCTTAAAGTGGAAAGTGGGATAAAATCGTGACGAAAACAATGACTTTCGCTTTCTTTCGTTCAAAAGATGTTACCGTAATCGCTTTTCGAATGGTTTAGTTAAGAAACTGTTGTATTACAATAATAAGATGCCCTCCTAATTGACTTGAATTAATACTTGAATGGAAATATACAATATTTTTGTTGAAACTACCCGCGTTTCAATGTAAAGTGTCGTAATAACAAATGGTAAACAATTTGTCTTCGGCACTCGTGTTTCATGCACGGCGAGCCTCAGTTTATAGGACGTAGAGCGTTTATATTGAAGGTTTTGTTGTTCCATTATCCTCAAAAACGTGGGTCGAACTATAAATGAGGAATATCGTAAATTAACGATTTCTTGGTCGAAAAATCAGGGTCGACCTATAAACGAGGGGGGGTTATAGACGAGTATATACGGTATGTATGCAGGCTGGGGCTGAACAGGTGTTGCTGTATTTGTCAGGTTTATTTATTTATTGATTCAGTATTATATTCTCATATGATTGGCCTCTTATGGTTTATGGTTCATCATGATTATTATAACATCTTCAGTAATAGAGAAAAAATCAATACTGTATGTAATTTGTAATATGACTTGAAAATAAAAGGATAAGCTTTCAGCAGACCAGCTTACAACAGGGGTCACTATAACACACTGTATTGTATGTGCTGTGAAGATACCTTCTTAAAAATATTAGTAACTACCTTTGAGTGTTATATGATGGCTTAGTTTGGCTACTTATACACTTAGACAAATGATTAATGAATAAACCAGGGTTGAAAAGCTGCCTGGCAACTAAAGATGACTTGTTGGCAACTCCCTGAAATTTCATTTGGTCTATTTTCTTTTCATTTCTTGCCATTATATTCACAATCAAATTTAATGCTTATTTATTTAAACGTTTACCAATAATTAAATTTTTGTTGTTTAATAATGTGATTGATAGTCAGAGAGAGAAAACATTAATGATGCTGGCTGATATAATAAACATGCATTGTAATACAAGTTCATCATATTAATAATTTGACAAGCCCACAATATTCTCAGGGTGTGCTTTTGCAGTACTTGTTTGCAATCAATTTGTTTTCTTCAATTTACAATAAACTTAACCATTTTAGGATCTCACAGAAAAGAGAATTGCATCATATCAGGTGACAGGATTAGTGACACTGGTAGCTCCTCATATTCCCATATAAGGAAAGCAGAGCTACCAAGGTGTAGCCAGATATACTGTTCAACACCAAAGAGGTAAAAGTAATTATGGTCTGACTGTACTGTATACTGTATGTCCACTCAAATCCCACTAATTTAACAACTAAGGAGCTCTTACTTGTCGAATTACCCAGAGGATCTGAATTAAATAGTGTTTAAATTTGGTTGTGAGATTTAAACACATTGTTGTGATGCAGTACTGTTTTTTTTGTATTTTTTTTTTTTTTTAGCAACTCAGGTGGGTAATTCAGCCAGTACAAAAAACAACCCAGTTCACTTATTTCACTTTTACCTGTGGTACTACTATTTTATACTGTATTCACATACACATAAAATGAAATGAAGATGCAATTACCAGACATATTTGAATAAAAGCAATTATAAAAGATTTAAAGTTGTAATTTCTTAATGATGTAAATACAGGGACTATTAGTGTGCATACCCTATGTAAGCCCGGTGCAGCAGTACACTACTGTATGTGTCTAAAAAGAACAACACACTCCATTTACCAATGTGTAGTGTATGAATTTATATTTGAATATGATTATATCAAATTGGTTTGTATTGAAAATAATAATTTATGAAAGTAAACCCTCTCAATAAGAGACTTCTCTGTACCAAATATTCCCAATAATGGCTGTCCTTTTGTCTGATATAATTAACAGACTTGACTAGTAAGATCTGGTACAATATTGGAAACATTGTCCGCTGTTTACCATGTGGTCAATTGGTGCATGTTTGAACTTGCTAAACTCAGTGTGGCTGACAGTGTTTACAGTACAATGCCAAATACCACACTGAATTTCACTTATATCACTGTCACTATGTATGGGATGGTCATTCTTGTCCCTAGAATCAAGTATAAGGGTGTCAATTTCATCCTATATGGGTACTGCACACTGGCGGTGCAGTACATTTTGACTTACCATTACTATTGGGCAAGAGGCTTGCACTACCTTGGTGCAGTTGCCAGTAACCTCCACAAAGATAGGAAGTTTAAATTAGGTCCTCAAGAAATATATTGCAACAGTTGTGGGATACAGGCAAGTCCTGAGATTCGACTTTTGGGGTTCGTCCAACTCATCTTATTTACCATTATCAATAACTACCTGTTACCCCAGTTTTGACCAGCAAACTCGCTAATTATAGTAGAGTGTGTTTTATGCAGTTGAGATACCTGTACAGTACTAGGCATGTCTGTTTGTCCACGGTGTCGTTTTCATTCTGTTCCCAGGAGTACAATACGTAGTTATTTATAGTGGCAGTATACATTGACTTATATTGCAAAATTTCTACCTTAAATCTAAGTCATTCACTGAATTCATCATGGCCAGTAATAAGAGAAAGTGTGATGATGTTGGTAGTGCTAAAAAGATAGCTCATACAAACCATAGTTTTGAGATAAAAATAGATACCTGTATGATAAAGGGAATTGAAAGTAGTGAATCACATGTCTACATTGCACAATCTCTGGGATTAACTCCAGTCCATTTAAGTTTTGTCACAGAAGATGTCTGGTAAGTACCATATCAATGTTTTCTCCATACAGTAATACATTATTTGTTCCAAGTCTGGGGGAGTTCAGAATGCATTAATCATAATTACATTATTTCGTATGGGGAAAATTAATTCAACACACGATAGTTTGAGGAATGGCTTAGGGTTAAATCTCGGGACTTACCTTTACTGTATGTTCAGAACGGTATGATCCTCCATTCCTTAACTGTTGGGGGAGATTCATTCATATAGCCAGGTGTTTATAAGTCGGATGTTCATAGCTCGGGGACTCATTACTTTGGATAACCCTTGTTTTTTTCACTTTTGAAAATGAATAAGATTAAAGAAATTTCTTAATTTTACCTGACAGATGAGGAAGAAGAAGCATCTCACGTTGTATATGATGAGCAGGATCCACTAGACGATGAATTTGCTAGGGCTGTGATGCGTCGTGACCGACAGACACTGTTCCATTTTTACTACATGCCTGATTCTTATGACTCATGGGCACCAGCTGTAGAATTGGATTATGACACTCCTGAATCGCCACAGTTTTATGATGGCCAGTGGAAGGTTAGTTCATAGACATCATTTTATACCATTTCTAAATAAATTGATGAGATGAGAGGTAGTTATTATGAAGGATTATGGGAATGTTATTTATATGAGATGAGGTTAACTAAAATAACATGCAGTATTTGAGTGAGGTGAAGAATAAAATGATACAGATTGACATAAATTAATAAATTATTATAGAGGTTGTTCACTATTATTCTACCAAGTAAATATACCATGTACTGTACTTTGATATTAAATAAATATTATAAATTTAATTTTCAACAATAATAAGTGAATGATAACAAAAATTTATGAAAAAATCAAAGCCATTAACATATCTTAGGGTGGATTTATTATTTTGTGACTAAAATGTTCCTAGTTTGTTATTGCTAGCAAAGTACAGTGTCTTGTTCATGGTATAAAATGTAAATATAAAAAATCTTTCACTTCAGGTGTGTGCCAATTGGCTGCAAGATTTAGAATCATACAATGAATGGATGAATGAGGAAGATTATGAGGTTGATGACAGTGGTACTAAGAAAAAACATCGTGGTTGCCTGAGTGTTGATGACACAATGGGCCTCAGTGATCCTGATAAAAAGAAGAAAGCCAAGAAAAGACCACGATCACCCCCATCACCCCGTTCTAAGAGGAAAGGGTAAGGTTTGAGTAAAAGTATTCAATACTCACAAAACTATTGTCTGTGCCCAGAATTAAAGTTTTGTGTAATTTTGTAAAGGATTTTCCCCACCAGGGTTCGGTATTAATTTTTCACTTACTCATCCAGTCAGGCGAGTAGATTTGATAATTCCTTGTCTCCTTTATCATTCTATCCACATCATCATTCCTCCACCATGTTATTACCCGCCTTGCTGGACCCTTCATCTAGCCACACTTAACAGAACATCTTTTTGATGGGGCCTAGCATCCTGGTACATTATTATGTAATGTATAATGGAAGTCTGTGGGAAAATTGGTTTCAGGTTACAGACAACGAAAGAAGTCCTCAAATAGGCGTGTCCATACTTGGGAAATTATTTTACCCGTTAGCTCCGTCATGTTGTTGTTATTCCCACGTGATCAAAATGTTAACAACAAATGACATTTTCTTACGTTTTTAAAATCACAAAATTAAACATAATACCGTAATGAGTAATCTTGGGAAGAAGAGTAATAATTACTTCATAATAATTTTAGCTTTATATTTTAAGTAAAAATTATTATATTTTTGTAACTATTTGTAGTATCAATTATAGATCTTGAGTTGACTCCGGTAAGTTGTCATTGTAGATGGTCTGTACCGTTTGACAAACAGCCAACGACGATGCCGACGATTTTTTTTAAAAAGTTGAAGGTAATGAAAAAGTTGACAATAGAAATGCTTGTGTGACACCGTCTTAACTATATGAAAAAGAAATTCAGTAGAATCACTTGTATTAACTCAGAATTTATGTATCTGGGATAGATTTTTCCAGTTGACCAGGTAACTTTTGTTGTCTGCAAAAACTCTAGGGAATATTAGGCAGCTTCCATTTTCATATTGAAGTGATGATAGTTGGGATATGTTCATGCATTGTAATAAAAAAGATTTTTTATACTGTAAATTGTTAAAAGCTTCAATATAATCCATTGTAAATACACAAGAGATTTCACACAATAACAACAGCAGTGTGTGGACATGGGTGACAAACAATATGTTGACTCCACAAAGAGTGAAAAGGTGCTGCTCCTCACATAAGTGGTGGGAGTATGTGCCCCTATTCCACTCATGGATGTGTATTATTACACTGTTCAGAACTTTTAAATTAGTAACGTTTCATTTTTATATTTGCAGATCACGCAACACGACGACACCAGGCAAACCCGTTAAAAAGACTAAAATGGAAGAAGAAGAAGAAGATCTAACTAGGGACATGGAGGACCCAGCTCCTGAGCCAGCTGTCACAGAGGTCACAACCGGTTCCAAAATACAGCCTAGTAAAGGAGGAAATTACATGGACCTTGATGAGGAGGCTGCAGAGAAGACAGAAAAAACTGAAGGACCGGTAAATAATGAACTCCCTTTTGGTTCTATGCATATCAGTTCTTTTATTTTTAGGTCATCCCCTGTCTTACTTGTATGATCATTTAACTTGAATTAAAACTTGCAGGGATCTAACAGAATTAATCTACTTACTAACTTCTGTATTTCATAAATTGGAAGTTATAAAGTATGGCTTAAGGGAAGGAATGGCTGTATGTTTCAGGGCTGTTTACCATATTGTGTGTCATTGTAATATGGTGCCTAGTGAGATGAGTGTAATGATTTGTTGAGAATGTAGTACCCATTTAGATGAATTTAATGATTATTAGAAACTTGTAAGTATTTTAGGAGTTTGACTAAAATGAAAGAAACTGGTGATAAATTAATTGCTCTTAGATAATTAAAATGGAGAATGAGATGGTACTCCTTAATTAATCTTTCATATGTGTAAATGGAGTACCAAAACAGAACACATGTGTTTCAGTAATTAGAGAGAATGAATGTGAGAGGGTATGAAGAAAAGAGAGTGTGTGAGTTTGGTCCTGATTCTGACCACCCTGAACAAAGCATAGAAAAGATTGTAAGAGTGAATTAATGGTCCTGGTGTGTATGTTTTCATTCTTATAAAGAATTTTTAATTAGAAGATAACGCAAAAATGTATTGTTGACTTATAAGCGAGATGATTAAAGATGGCAGTGAAGATTACTTAACCCTTAAACTGGGATATTCCTAATGTAAGTCTACTTGTACGATTATGACTTTATCGTATGAGAACAGCCGTTTTGAGCAGTAATGAAGTGCATCACATGTCCCAGTAGCTCAGCCCCACATGCTTATTGAAACACTCCACCACGGCTGAACTACCTTATACCATAAAGACCCCGAGTACTGGACTAATTGAGCCACGGCGATGATGTTACTCAGATGGAATCTGTTATTTGGACATCCATATCAGCATGGAGGCACAACTGTTCAAAACAACAGCCAGCATATTATACTAACAAAGATTGGCTTATTTAAGCTCATGATAAATTAGTTCAGGTAAAGTAATTATACTTACGATATACTTTCAGCAAATTCAGTTGTTTTTTATTTAAAGTGTTAATTGGTGTAGGTAAAGTTCTAGATTCTAGAAGGTTTTAGAGCCCCAAAGACTTTTGAAGGTTCTGGAGACCTGATGTACTGTACTTGTGTATGTGGCATGGGTGGCCTTATGCAGTGTGAGATAAAGTGGATGATGTGGGTGTATAAAGTATATCGTAAATACGAAGTCTGTCCAAAAAGAAAGCAAACCTTTAAAAAAAACAAATTTTTTGCTTTACTTACAACTTAATCAGACTTGTCTCCTTCAAAGTACTCCCCTCTACTGTTGATACACCGCTCCCAACGTTTTTTCCAGTTCTGCAATGCGTCCTGGAACGTGTTATGCGGGATGGTGCGAAGGTCTCGTAGCGAATTTTCTTCTTTCTCTTCTATCGTCTGAAATCGGCGACCTTTCAGGGTGGATCTTAACTTTGGGAACAAAAAAAAGTCCGCAGGGGCCAAATCCGGAGAGTAGGGCGGCTGGGGGATGATAGTGGTCTCGTGCTTCAAAAAGTCACAGATACGGAGCGACGCGTGAGCAGGTGCATTGTCATGGTGCAACATCCAGGTCTTGTTTGTCCACGCCTCAGGCCTCTTCCTTTGCACTGCCTCCCACAAACGCTTCAGGACCTCCAAGTAAAACTCTTTATTGACTGTCTGACCACGTGGAACAAACTCATGATGAATGACGCCCTTCCTATCAAAAAAGACGATCAACATCACCTCCACATTTGAGCGACTCTGATGTACAGATTTGGAATCGTCTTCGGTGGATGCTCTTCCCCTTTTGAAACACTGGTACCACACGTGACATTGCGTACGGCTCAAACAATCCTCCCCATAAGCCTGTTGCAACATTTGAAAAGTCTCCTTAAAAGTTTTTCCCAATTTGAAACAGAATTTCATGCATAACACGTTGCTCTTCAAGATCCTTCATTGTTCAACTTGCAACAAATCGCCAAGTGCACCAAACACACGTTCACTCTAGCGCGTGTAGCTCGATGACTAATTGACGTGGCGTGATGCGGCTAGTGTTGGACTAAAGGTCAAGGTCACCGCTACACAGCGCTCCTGTCGCAGGCACGATGCGATGGCTCGTTGACGCGCTATTTAAAAATATCGGTTTCATTTTTGACAGACCTCGTACTCGAATATACTCGAATACAATTTGTGTTTTTATAACAAAATTTTGTATGCAAAATGTAAGGGGTCAAACTGTATTGGCATAGTATTTTTGAGGTGTTAAAATGAATTTATTTCTGAGAGTCATTTATGGTGAACAACAGCTGTACATGATCATGGTAAGCTCCTTTATCCTGGACTTGCCTACCATACCCTAGACTCTTTCTTTATGTTGCTGCATGAAGAGCAGAACCTCATTCACTATAAATGCTGCCTTAAATCATTTGCAGCATTGTTGCCAACGCGTCACTGTAACGGAGCGGTGAGATGTTATGGTTATTTTTTAACTCATCATTTCTGGTAGATAAAGGAATACCTCACTATTTGCAACCCTGCTTAGCCACATTTATATTTTAACAGCCCTATTCAATATTTGCAAAGCATACCTTGCTTATGTGCAAAGAAAAATTATGATACCTAACAGTAATACTGTAATTCAAACTATGTGGGGTAGCTGCAGCTCTTATATTCCACTGTAAGGCTCGCTTCACAAAAGTGTTTTTTCTTCTGTGCCAGTTGGCATTAGTTTCACAACACGTGGGTCACAAGAGACTGGAACAGCCGATATTCCCAGCACCGCTTACTCCTCCTCTTCCTCTCACGATCCGCGTGCTAACTATGGTGTACATAAGAAAAATTTATTTAATTTATGTTTTTGACCTTATGATAATCGTTTCTTTTATTTATCACATTCTGTATGAACGATATTGTGCCTGTACCAGTATAAGAAGAAGAAAAATGACGTATATCTACCCGAAATTGCAAGTTAAAAAAAATAACAATAGCTCTTATATTCCACTGTGGTGCCATGTGGTAGGTGTCAGAAGTGACGGGTTGATTAATTGATTGTGGTAATTATGCATCCCTGGTGATGCAAGAACTTAGGCCATATGTTGCCAAATTAAATTAAAGGCTTAAAAGACTAAAATCAAATAAAACAAGGTAAAAAATTTAAATAATAAATAGTAAAGAACTTTTGGAAAACCCATTTAAACATTAATAAATAAAACCCAGTCAGTTTTTAAGTAATCACATTCTAATGGTTAAATGGGCATTAAAAATGTGTGGTTCTCTGGCATGGTGTACTGTGTGATTGTGCAGAATCAGTGATAATTGTACCTTGAAGGAAATTTTATAATAGAGTGAGATGATTTAAAGAATAATGGTGGGGAATTGTAGGTATTTAACTCACGTATTTTCTTAATTTTTCAGCCCGTTCCTGATAGTGAGGACACTGCAACTGACCAAACTCATCACATAATTGTTCCAAGCTATGCTGCCTGGTTTGACTACAATGCCATTCATGCCATTGAGAAAAGAGGCCTTCCTGAATTTTTCAATGGCAAAAATAAATCTAAGACACCTGAAATATATTTGGCCTATAGAAATTTTATGATTGACACTTACAGGTTAGTGGCATGAGAGGTTTGAAGAACATAGTACAGTAGGGTCGGGATATATCACGAGATATGGTCCAAGGATGTTTGCTATACTGTATACTAAATTGCGATATATAATTACATGGAATCAATGGGGGAAATAGGGTTAGGTTCTGGAGGCCCAAAAAATTGACTAAATTTCACAGATTTCAGCTCTGCTATTCTGAACATCTCATACTCTTCACCTTGCTGTGTAAACCTTCCATTCTAGTATCCCAGAGTCATCCTTCAGGCACTTCATCTCTTTGGTGCTTCAGTATTAGAGCACAGGTACTCTTCTATAATACAAGCTCATGTTTCACTGCCTAAGTTAACTGAGGAAATATATTATCTTTTTTATCTTCCTTACCTCCAAACACACAATTCATCCTTTTGTAATGTTTCCCAGGCCTCAAATTACCCTAATTTCTTTATCCATAATACCATTCTCACTTAACATCTCCCACATACTGGAACGACTTTACCTCTTTTAGAGTTTGTTATCACAATTTTACATTTTGATAATTAAATAATTTAGTTTGTTATTCCAAGCATGTTAAATGTCCATAAAGTGGCGATGATGAATGATGATGGTTTATCAAAATCCACTGTCACAATCTTTTCTCTCAAGACTTTGTGCTTTTTTTATATCTGGCGTCAGAGTACTATTCTTACACACCCTTTCAAAGTTGTTCACAGCATTTTGTACTTGATGTCATTATATTTACATTTTAGAAATCCATGTTGTGTGTGCCATTTGATAATTGGCAAGGATTCTCACACAGCAAAGGTAGCACAATAGTCTGGAAGGTTTTGCGTGCCTTAGTCTACTGCTATCTGATTGAATGATAAGGAAGCATGTCTCTATATAACAACTTGTCTGAAGTGTTTCCTTAAGAAGTGGTGGTGGTTCTGCAATGCATCCTTTCTAAAGTTTAACCGCTTCAAAGCTACCTGGGGGAGGCTGATCAACAGATGACCCATAAATGCTAAAAATATGAAGACAGTCAGGTTTTGGACTTTGTCATCTTGACTACATCACTGGTAATGACTTAATGAAGATGTGATGCTCAGAGGCAGCTATCTTCCTGGTGTTGTGGGTATTTGGTTTTAACAACTTTAGTCCATTGTTTTCGTTGGGCATTTTATGGCATGCCATAAGGCTAACCCAAGGGTTCTAAGATGTTTATTGGTGAGCTTCTATTGGGGAAATGTTACTCTGGCATCTCTGATGTCTTTGGCTGGTTCATTTTATGGTGAGTCATGATCATTCACCACACAGAAATGATCTTGATCAGGCTTGTGTATTGTGTTCTAAAAGGAATTTTTATGTACTGTTCATTGTATTACAGTATCATAAAATGTGAACAGGCTTAGGGTGCTTAGTCTCTGACTCAGAAGATTTTACTAGCTTGAAGGAATTATTTGTATTTCTAATATTTGTGAGGATCACAAGGAAAGAGAATTAGGAGTGATATCCCCGTTAACCGGAACAATTGGTAAGAGCACTTCCTTGAATGAGAGATTTCCGGGTAATTAGACAAACCGGAAAAAATCCCCCATCCCCGGAATTTTTCTGGGTTATGGGAAAAATTCTCGTAATTTACTGGAAATTGTTCATTATTTCATCCTCAATTTGCTCCCAGACCTGTAAAAAAATATATTGAGTTTCTGGAATTTTCCAGAATTGCACATTATTTCATCGTCGTAATTTGGTCTCAGACCCGAAAAAAATTTGGAGAGTCGAGCATTTTTTTTCCAGAATTTTCAGAAAATGCGCCAGATTTTCAACCTCCGAAAAATCATTCCCAAACTTGGAATTGAGAAAAATTTCAAGAAAATTCCGAGCAAATTTCAGTTCCGGCTATTGGAGAGTTTTGGCTAAGGGGATTCCGGCTAATGGAGATATTACTTATTTTTATTATTGACATCCTACAGGATGGCTTAGCAATTTTTGGTGTCTTTGCCATGCAGTGGAATGGTTGGGATGAATTTGATGTATATCCTCATCTCTCTTGAATGCATTAAGTGGAATTAAAGCTGGGGCTCTTCCAAAGGATCTCTACACTAGTTTTTTTTTTAGCTAAGCAGGATTAGTCTTCCTCTCCTGCCGTTGTGTGGTTAATACTGTGCTCTGTTTCTCACTATAATGTTGAAGCAGTGGATTACTAAAGACATGGTCTCTTGTGGATTTTCCAAGTTATTGATGTAGGTTTTTGTGATCCCCTGTACTTTTAATTCCATACCTAGGTTAAAGGGGATAGTTATGCTTGGTGTTTGGGCAGACAGTGGGGTTCCCTGGGTTTTTACGGTTCATATGGCTCATATCAACTAACACAGAGGAATCTTAAATAATGTTTTCTTTTCCTAACCTAACCTCTGGTTTTGTTTACTTCAATTTGCCCTATACTTTTCAGATTGAATCCAACAGAATACTTGACATCTACTGCATGCCGTCGCAACCTTGCTGGTGATGTCTGCGCTGTGATGCGAGTGCATGCGTTCCTTGAACAATGGGGACTGATCAATTATCAGGTAATTAGGTGTAAGGGTTGAGAGTTTTTATATGCCTACAGATTTGTGGTCCTCTTGTCTCTTAATTTGACTTCCATGCATTGACGTGAATTTTTTAATAGTTTTTAAAATTTTGTTGAAAATGTCACTCATCAGGGAAAACCCATCAATTTTAATGAGTTAGCATAATAGGGTTACAGACACACTGCTTTATTTATTTGTTTATTTTTTGTGTGTGCATTATCTGGTGCTGAAATTATGAAAAAAAAGAGAGCTAATAGTACTGTACTTCTAATTGATATTTTCTTATAACAAAGAATGAATATTAATTATGTAATATTCTTGTGCAGGTGGATGCAGATGCCAGACCAACTCCCATGGGACCACCACCAACTTCCCATTTCCACGTGCTAGCTGACACTCCAGCTGGACTTCAGTCTATTAATCCTCCAAAGGTTTGTACTATTGATTCACAATTTATTCAAGTTCGTCATTTTTTTTCCCTTTACACATACAAGCATTTTCCTGCTATGATGCAAAGCTGACAGACACAAATGCTGATCTTCTGATTCTCAGTATTCATCAACTCATGGGTTATTTACCCCACTTCCTTGGCAAGATTCTCGTCCACCGAAGGCATGACGTGAGTGATTCAGTGGGACTCGGAGCGTTATGAGGTGCTCGATAATCCCAATAGGCATTTCAGTTAGCCTGTGTAGGATGCTTTGGTGGATGGCAAAGCCAACTCCATAAATGCGGTTTCTCTCCACAACAGGCTTGCCCTTCCAAAAGAAGGTATAGCCAGACCCCTGTTCTGTGAGTTGTCCCTTGTCTGGGAGCCGGAACTCACTAATGGATGCTGTGTCGATGTTATACCTAGCCAGCTCTTTTGCCACAAAGGAGGTTCTTCTTTCAGGATGCTCATTTGTGCCAGTATCCAGAAGGGTCCTGACATTCCATGCAGTGACCATAAGAGGTTGTATAATTTGTTTTTGTTTGGATCTGTGATTATGATTGTGTTTTCGATCATATAAGGATGACCTTACTGGGTGCGGTTATCAGTCAGGCTGGTTCTTTAGGCAGGGTATGTTTAGGGCACCTTTTCTAGCCCCCTCCCCATGTGGGGTGAGCAGAGTGGCTGCTTGAAAGGGCTGCTCAGTCACACAGACAGGACCGGATTGCACTGCTGCGTAGATCCCAGTGCATAAACGACCATCTTATCGGTGCCACCCATGTGCAGAATTGTAACTAGAAACTCCCGGCAGTCATCTCTGCCTGTCGCCGTCGCTGTTCGTTCGATGCCATAGGACTTTTGGGTGTATGGGGGTTTTGATGATGTTGAGAGGTATGATGAGCTGGTTGATGGCAGTGCATGAATTGATTTATGTGGTGAGGCAGGAGCACAGGCTGCAACCATACATCTTAGCTCTCCCTTTTCCTGATCCACCGGTGCAAGTGTTGCAACAACTGGGGAGAGGGAGAGTCGCAATGGACTGCTAATAGCCTAGTTTGTTGAGTTTCGCCTAAGTAGCCTGTCCATCATGCATTGCCTTCGTCCGCCTGTGTAGTCATTAGGTTCCCATGGTGGTCACCTCATCCGCCTATACCTCCGTTGGGATCTTGTTTGGAGGTCTATAAGCATGTTTGCCTGATGCGGGACTCCATTGCAGATTTTTTGGGGGATTTACTCCCGTAGCCTAAAACCTACCAAGGTTAATCCAGAAGTTAGCGGGGCAATGGTTGGAAGGCACCAGGATGTGTCCACATTACCAGGCCGATGCGTTGTCCCTCTGGGGTCCACTGCTACTCTGAGATCCTCTACTGGTCAAGCCTGGGCCCACGAGGCACCCGGTTACCTTGTGTTGCCACGAGGAGGCACAGCAGGAGTCCTAATTATGAAGAGGCTGTGTACTGGCAGGAGAAGCCTTATGCAAGTTGCTTCCCTGTTTGCCATGAAGGTTAGCCAGCAGCGGTAGCTTGAAAGCGAGAGGAAGCAAGCAGTGCTTGTACTTTAACACACACGGTGGTGAAATATATCCACACACACACACACAGCCAGTGATGCATATACATTTCATATTTTTCCTCAATTTCCTTTCCATTTGACCCAAGTATTCTCATCACATCCTCCACTCTTATAGGACTCCCATCACACTCAGTCCCCTCCTCCTCCTTGTTCACACTAGTGACCTGTTGTTCCAACATGTGTACTCTCAAGAAAGTTAAGAAACTATCTTTATTTAACATTTCCCTATCATGGCATGAAGCACGTGTGTGTGTGTGTGTCAGACACATACTTTCACCAAACAAGAACATGTGGTATGCATTTAGTTCCAGAGATAAGAGAGGTTTGTGTAGAGGCCTGTCTGATCACATGTTGGAAGTGTGCATAATGTCAAAGTGGTAAGGGACAAGAAGGGTAGATTAAAATTTGATGCAATAAAAGTTGAGAAGGAAGAAAGTATAAAAATAGATTTTCAAAGAAGCCGAGTGTTAAATTGAATAGCGTGGACAATGGCATGTTATGTAGGCTTGGTCTCAGTTACTGTATAATAACATAATATGAGCAGGTTTGATTCTTTCATTTTTAGTATACAGTTCTTGTATCATTGATGTCTTGTTGTCATCAGAACTTATCACCATAACATATCACTCATTATCTGTAATTGATACTGTATTAGGGAAATATTTGTCTGAACATAAAATGTTGATAATATATTACGAAGGTGTTAAGCACTGCAGTCGGTTTTAAATTTTGAATATCACTGACTATGTGTAAATCCTTATGGAGTGACCAGAAGACCACATAAATGAATAATCTGTATTTTAGTTATTGTATTAGATTGGTGTGTAGGGGTAAATGATAATCTCTGCTAATTTTTCTCTTTGCTTACAGGTTAATCAGCCATCTGCAGCAAAGCATCTAATGGATTTTGACAAAAAGACTACTGATAAAAAACCAGATTTCAGTATTGGTACAGACTTTGGATTGAAGCTTGACCAGTATTCTAAAAAAACTGGGGCTCTCAAAAATAAATCTGCCGCCAGTCAAGCCCGAGAATGGACAGAGCAGGAAACCTTACTTTTGTTGGAGGCTCTTGAGGTCAGTGTTACATTAGAAGAATCATTTTTGAATTAATTTGAATTGGTCTGTATGCTTGGAGAAGGTAACCGTACAAATGTCATTAGAGAATGGGAGAGGAAATTCAATAAGGTATTCCCAAGTAAAAATTGCATGACATTCCTGGGATATATGACTTAATATCGGTACATGTGACAGAGGGAAAATACAATATATTCATTAGTATGATAAAAGGTCAAACTACTGTGTAATAAGAGTGCAGAGGGATTTAAAGGTAATTTTTGAGTTATGTTGAAAATGCTTCTGAGAAGGAAATGTGAAGTACAGTGCAGTAATCCCGTGTTTTTCGCGGGAATTACGTTCCTGAAACCCCCGCGAAAAGTCAAAACCGCCGCGAATACTCTTTTAGGAATCACTGTACCTGTGGCCACCAAACAGCTCAGATAGGTCATGCACTTAACCATGCCATGCTCTCCACTCACGGCCCAGTGGTCACACTGATGCATTGTACCGGCATTTACTAACATCATTATATGAAACTAATCATATTGTAGTATAATAATGGAATAACGTAAACAGTTATATACCAAAAAAATTTATTTACAAGTGAAAAAAAAAATTATATTTCGCTGAGGTCGGCAACACCTGCATTGCCAGCCTGTCCCTGCTGTCCCGGCGTCTGCCTGCCCTCACACAGTCACGCCAGCCAGTCCTTTTCCACCCACATTCCTCCACTTGAAGACTTGTATTCTGACAAAAGACACAAATGAATTGTCAGTCTTCACCACATCTCGAGCCATAGCTCATACCACCTCTGAGCTTGTCCAATAAAACTGTTTTTTCCATTAAGGTCATCACTATTCTTGATCTCTTGGTCACTTTAGAATCTTTGCTAGTAATATTTGCCTTTGATGAGGCTGGCTTATGTCCTGGAGCCATGTGGAATGTACGTGGGAGGACAAACAGAAGAGGTAATCACAGTAGCGTTCACAGTACGGTAGGCACGTGTGGACTGAGGCTTCTCGGAGCAGCGGGTGTCTGAGGCGGGAAAGGGTGGTGTCTGTTTGCCGCACCTCACGGGAATATCGAAAATGACACAAAATTAAAATTTTTTTTTATAAAGGATATTATATATATATATATATATATATATATATATATATATATATATATATATATATATATATATATATATATATATATATATATATATATATATATATATATATATATATATATATATATAATTTTTTAGAAAAAGAAAAACTTGAATGGTCAAAACCACAATAAAAAACGCAAAGAACTCGGGATTACTGTACAGTATGTTGCTATATTTGTCACAGAAAAATTAAGGAATAAGTTTTTCTTACCATAAAGTATCAGGTACCTTAACACTGGTTACTCACCCGAGAGATTACTGTGTATCACTAAGTAGAATTTCACTCCACTTTCTAGCATTCAATGTGTTATATACTGTACGTGATAAATGATGATTTAATGAATTCCATTAATTTCCAACATCCATCCAAGTTATTGATTACCTTTAATATTAAATAACTAAGATTGGGATCACAGATACGAGAAAATAATTGTACTTAAATTTATTTGGCAAGGTTCCATACACTGATTAACAATTTGCATGGACATATGAGTCATTCACATTCACGCCATAATAAAAGTAATTCTGAAAGGGAGGGAATTTGTCAACCTGGGGAATTAACCACTTAGATTTACTAGGCCGGCCTGGATTGCTCCAGTGAATTTTTTTCTTCACAGGGTATAATTAAATTAATCACAGTTAGCTAAAGTCTTGAGGTTTGCACACACACAGTTTTGTATCACTGACATCTCTGGACGGGTAGGGTACGATTCAGCGCCGATGTTTCAGCACCGCCGTTTCAGCACCAGCCTATTTCAGCGCCAGACTATTCAGCGTCACCAAATCAATAAATTATTCAAAGAATCATACATATTTATGAGATTGGTTTATTTAATTAAAAATTATTAAAAAAAAACATATTTAAAATCATTTAAAAGAAAGGGTTAGCTTCATTTTTAGTGTGATAAATTGTGCGCAATTGCACGCAGGTATTTTACTTAATTTCTGTTCCCATTCTTTGATCTGCTTTTCTGTATTTCAGTAATTTGGGTTGAGGTTCATGCCCAGCTGAAAGCTTCTCGAAATATTCATCCCGTCCTTTTTGGACTCGTTTAAGAGCATGGATGAGTTCCATATGGTTGGATGCAACAGTTGGCCTCGTAGTCGTCTGTTTGCAGTTTCAGCATGGTTATTGGTTCTATCTTCTCCTTATAAAGTTCGTTGGTACATGTTCCACATCTCTGTGAGAAACAATGGTTGTCTTTTCCCAGTTCCTCTCCGGTATGGACGACCAATATAATTGTCTTCAAACCAATTTAAAACCGGAACCAATTCCCCAGACAAGTCCATTGCAAGAGCATCCACGTGACGGTCAATGTCATCATTTGGTACAAAAGAAAGTGCCGTTACCATTTTAGCGTGTAAAGCCAAGTCGGGATTGCTATTATATGAACCCATGAGACCCATACTTTTTATCTGTTTTAGTAAATTTTGCAATAAATGGAACAGACAGCCTCTGATTTCTACATCGGAAAAGCAGTCTTTCATGGTTGCAAAAGCTGCATACTCAAAATCACAGTTTATGGCATCGGGTCGTGCATTTGGTACCATCTCCCTAATCATTTCAATCATTCTCATACAAGTTACACTCTGCTTATTCTGTAGGAGTGCATATAGTACAGGGTGTACGCCCGCATGTTTCTTGACCATGATGATATACACTTGATAAAATAAATGTGGTGCAATCGCAAATGTTCCATCGATGTACCAAATGCTTGAAGTTGCTATATGTTCCAAAACACACACACACACACACACACTCACACACTCTCTCTCTCTCTCTCTCTCTCTCTCTCTCTCTCTCTCTCTCTCTCTCTCTCTCTCTCTCTCTCTCTCTCTCTCTCTCTCTCTCTCTCTCTCTCTCTCTCTCTCTCTCTCTCTCTCTCTCTCTCTCTCTCTCTCTCTCTCTCTCTCTCTCTCTCTCTCTCTCTCTCTCTCTCTCTCTCTCTCTCTCTCTCTCTCTCTCTCTCTCTCTCTCTCTCTCTCTCTCTCTCTCTCTCTCTCTCTCTCTCTCTCTCTCTCTCTCTCTCTCTCTCTCTCTCTCTCTCTCTCTCTCTCTCTCTCTCTCTCTCTCTCTCTCTCTCTCTCTCTCTCTCTCTCTCTCTCTCTCTCTCTCTCTCTCTCTCTCTCTCTCTCTCTCTCTCTCTCTCTCTCTCTCTCTCTCTCTCTCTCTCTCTCTCTCTCTCTCTCTCTCTCTCTCTCTCTCTCTCTCTCTCTCTCTCTCTCTCTCTCTCTCTCTCTCTCTCTCTCTCTCTCTCTCTCTCTCTCTCTCTCTCTCTCTCTCTCTCTCTCTCTCTCTCTCTCTCTCTCTCTCTCTCTCTCTCTCTCTCTCTCTCTCTCTCTCTCTCTCTCTCTCTCTCTCTCTCTCTCTCTCTCTCTCTCTCTCTCTCTCTCTCTCTCTCTCTCTCTCTCTCTCTCTCTCTCTCTCTCTCTCTCTCTCTCTCTCTCTCTCTCTCTCTCTCTCTCTCTCTCTCTCTCTCTCTCTCTCTCTCTCTCTCTCTCTCTCTCTCTCTCTCTCTCTCTCTCTCTCTCTCTCTCTCTCTCTCTCTCTCTCTCTCTCTCTCTCTCTCTCTCTCTCTCTCTCTCTCTCTCTCTCTCTCTCTCTCTCTCTCTCTCTCTCTCTCTCTCTCTCTCTCTCTCTCTCTCTCTCTCTCTCTCTCTCTCTCTCTCTCTCTCTCTCTCTCTCTCTCTCTCTCTCTCTCTCTCATATATTAATAAGTTGAATACAACATAATATAAATCTAGTGTAATATACAGTATTATACCACGTTAATGAAAGACAGATAGTTTCCGAGTTGAACGGAACGCACAGGCGCTGAAATGGGCTAATTAACAAAGTATGTGAGTTTCCCAATTAATGCTTAATATAAAATCGGATTACTTTGATCAAATCCTAATTTTGCTGATGAAACACGTTAATACAACATTATTAATTTAAGAAACCTTTTCTCTTGTTTGCAGATGTACAAAGATGATTGGAACAAAGTATGTGAGCATGTAGGCACCAGAACACAGGATGAGTGTATCCTTCAATTTCTTCGTCTCCCAATTGAGGACCCATATTTAGAAGACTCTGAAGTAGGTTCTGGAGGATCACCAAATGCATTAGGTCCTTTAGCCTACCAGCCTATTCCCTTCAGTAAATCTGGTAACCCAATAATGTCTACCGTTGCATTTTTAGCGTCGGTAGTTGATCCTCGAATTGCAGCTTCTGCTGCTAAAGCTGCAATGGATGAATTTTGCAGGATCAAGGATGAGGTACCTGCTGCCCTTCTTGACTCTCACATCAAAAATGTTGCTGACCATGCAGCTTCTAATGAGGGAAAGGTGGATCCAATTGCTGGCTTAGGTAAGTCAGGTATTGCTGGAACTGAACCAGAAGGAGAAGAAAAGAAGGAAGGTGAAACAGAATCTGAAAAGAAAGATGATGCAAAGAAGGACGGTGAGAAAAAAGATGAAGAAAAGAAAGATGAAGGTGATAAAGAAAAGAAAGATGAAGCTATGGAGGTTGATAAACCAGATGAGAAAAAAACAGAGGAGAAAAAGGAGGGAGAAGAAGAGGATAAAAAGGAAGACAAGGCAGATACCAAAGAAGAAAAGAAAGAAGAGATCAGTCCTGAAGAAAAGAAGCTTGATGCAGAGCGAGAAAGGTTACGGAAAGATGCCTCCGTCCAGCAAGCAGCCAGTGCTGCTCTAGGTTCAGCTGCTGTTAAAGCAAAACATTTAGCCGCAGTTGAAGAGAGAAAAATAAAGTCCTTGGTTGCATTGCTGGTTGAAACACAAATGAAGAAGCTAGAGATCAAACTACGCCACTTTGAGGAGCTTGAAACCATAATGGATAGGGAACGAGAAAGTTTGGAACTGCAACGCCAGCAGTTATTGCAAGAGCGTCAGCAGTTTCATCTGGAACAGTTAAAAGCTGCTGAGATGCGAGCTCGTCAACATGCCTTACATCAGCTAACTCAAGGGGCTAGTCCTGCTCATTCACCAGCTCCATCCATGACACAGGTCCATCAGTAGTATTTCTTTTCCATATTTATAAAGATGAGATGCATTTGGAAAGTATTAACATGAATTTTTTCCAGCAGCTATACTGCCACTGATGACATTGAAAAGGTAGGTTTTGGGTGTTTTACATAGGATATCATCACTGCACTTGAATTTTAATACCGAATAGCAGTCTTAGTTAAAAAAAAAAATTGGCATTTGAGGATGCAATACATGTAGCTGTGTGTTAAATTAATTTTCTAGGTTATTTGAATTGCCAACTACTACTTTGTCTTACGAAGGTATCTTAGTAGTGGACACTTGCAAATGAATAAAATGTGAATGTAGCTCTATTTTTAATGCACAAGTTTCTGGATGCAAGATTGTTTTCCCTTTACAAAATGTAGTGTTAGTACAGTATTGTACATTGAGATTTACATTCCCTCCTACCCATGTAAATTTTAGTTTTGAATTAGATTTATGATCCTATGCCCCCCCCTCCCCCTTATATGTATGTGTGTGTGTGTAGTACAAGAGATACTTTAGGTGACTGCTGGCATTGATTTTCTAAGTTAGATACTAAGATAATATACATTTGATCTATATTAATGTCGTCTGGAAATCTCAGTTAATGTATCATACAACATTATCATCATTTTATCATTAAAACTCATTTTTATATTGTATTTTTCTTATTGAAATGACCTGTGCAATTTCCCACAAAAAAGATATTATTTAAGTAATAAATAAGCAATATTGTAAGTTATGTGAATAGGAGTGGATTTATATACAGCCTTTTCATGTATACAGTACATGTGTTTGGTGTGATTAGAAAAAAAAAGTAAGTTCTTAAGGGGTAAGGAAGTGATAAAATCTACCGTGTACGGTCATCTTGAAAAGTTCGAGACCTTGGCAGCCAGATTGAGCTGCTGGAGTAAACTACCGAACCCTGGGAGCTTCTGGCTCAGTTTTTATATTCAACCACTAGATGGCAATTTTTTACTGTCATGGTACAGAGTGGTGTAAACAACACCACTCCTAGTCTAATTGCTAGGAGTCTTCCAACAGATGGAGCTGACCGAGAGCCTGACAAATAAATTTGTGAAGAATCGTTTCCATGCAATTTTCAATATTATGTTGGGTTACTGTTTTTACATACAATTATTTGTAATTTAAAATATCATACACGCCAATAATGGCATTATGTAATGTACCAAATTGTTATTACAATTTTACAGCATTATTCATTCATATTTTGGCAAAATTAGCAGATAAATTCGTATCTCATAGGTTCATAACTTGTGAGTTTGCATATATGAATGGTTACCCTATCACCGAGGAGGTTCAGATTGCTTAAATCATGAATTTTTACATCTTCAGGCGTTCTATGTCCTCAGATACAGTACATTACAGTATTATATCTCCGTTACCAGGTGATGTTCAACTACAACAGGACAGCAAGGCTGCCTGGCCTCCTTTACTAAATGAGTGCAAGACACCTTAATATTCCTCCTGCATTTTTTTTACATTTAGTAATTACATGTACATATATATGGGTCGATAATTTTTTATTGTTGTATTTTTGTACGAGGGGGAAATGCCTCGATATACAGTGATCCCTCCGTTAACGAACTCAATCCGTTCCAGAAGGTCGTTCGTTAACCGAAAAGTTCGTTAACCGAAACCATTGTTTCAATGGGTTTTTGGGTAATTGGTTCCAGCTCACCGAAAATTTCCTAAATTCAACAAAAATGGTAGAAAAGTTCACTTACTTTGAGGTGTGTATGTAGAAGGCTCCTGGATGATGATGATGATGATGATGGATTTAGAATGGGGGTGGAGGAGAAGGAAGAAGAGAAGGCATTGGGGTGGAAGAGAAGTCACCCCATGGCGCCATTTCACCCATAAAATTTTAGCTCTGGGTGTAATTCAAGATTATTTTCTTTAAATCAACACTGCACTGCATTATATATTGTCAATATGTAAAATATATTTCAAAATGACCAATAATTTGCTTGGAAACACAGAAAAAAAGCGTTTAGTTGAAGAGAGTCTCAAGCAAGATGTTACCTCCAGTGAAAACAGAGAGAGACTAACTCCTGTTTGCTGTGTTAAGAGGCTGGATGCCGCACATTAAACTAGTCACTTTACCTTCAATTATGTTCAATAATTGTTAAAATGACTAAAAAATTGAATATTAAACTTTTAAAATTATTGAATAGTATAAACTTCTTGATATTTACTAAAATAGTAAGGAATTTAAGCCCTAGAACCGATTAATGTATTGGCGGACTGATACTAAAGCTGATTGCCCGGTCAGTGCAAGCGAAAACATGTTGAGGCCGGTTCGTAAGAACTTCGTTAACCGAATTTTTTTTCGTTAACCGAATTGAAGGTCCTTACGGAAGGCAGTTCGTTAATCGAAATTACGTTAACCGAGATGTTTGTTAAACGAGGGGTCACTGTATATGTTCTCATGTTGTTCGTGCCTTACAGGGTCTTGGAACTGGTCGAGTCCTTTGATTATTATGGTAGTCCTGTTTGATGTCAATGGTGGATGTTGTATAGTTATTCCCACTAGTTCATTGTTGACAAGGTCACTAAGGATGTCTGGATCATTCTTCAGCATAGCATATCCCTGTGTGTGAACTCTGAGTGAGAACTGAGCTCCCGGGTGTCTCGCTGCTGCCTCGTGTAACCACGCATATTTGTCAGTGGTTGACGTGGCGTCTGGGAAGTCTAGGCATGCTCTTTTAGGGAAAAGAGAGGGCAATTGTTAGTCATATTGCCTCTCTGCACGTTGTAACTTCTGCTTCTTGGATTGAACTATTTGAAATCCCTCCGTGTCGTCGGTGTCATCTCCAAGGTCAAGATTGCTGTTGACTTCATCTCCCTGTTGCTGTTCTAGAGAGTGATGAGCTGTGTCTTCATCGGTTGACTCAGTCATGGTGGAGTGAAAAACTCAACCGTATTTACTTATGGTTGAGGAGCTTTTACTATGGTACCATGTGCGTGGAATATAGGCATTAGTGTAGGGGCACTGTGGAGTGCCAGCATCTGTCACATTGATCATTGCACTACACTCACAAATGATACTTTACACATGGTCATATCTCACTGGCACTGATGTGAAGCAACTATTACACTTTGTTTCACAATGCACAAAATATAAATTTGGTTATCCAGTAGTGTGTGGCACACAGGCAATCAGCGGTGGCTGGAAGGCATAACCCTCTTGCAACGCAAGGTAAGTTGACCTTTATAGTCCGATACATAAGAGGGAGGTAGGCGGCGAGTCGCTGGCGTCTCAGTGCCTGACCTCTAACCTTAATCTTGATGGTGTAGGCCCGGGTGCCACCTCACTGTGTCACAACGGCATACTGTATTTTCCTCTATACAATTTGGTTATGGTACTTGTACAGTCCACATTCATAGGGTCGAGGTACAGAGATAACTAAGGCACACAAGGTAAATTCTCACACCTGTACGTACCAAGATGATGTCACAGTTACTGTGTGCCAGGCATTAAGTTGCTATATCTGTGCAGGTGTAGAACAATGTTATGATTTTTGGGGGTAAATTGGAAGCTTATAAACATGCGTTTATGCCTTCTTGACCCCAGATTATACAGGGTGCCCATAAAGTCCCATTCCGATTTCAAACATACAGTATAGTCTGCATTTATGCGGCTTTTGTTTACGTGTTTGGTCATTTACGCGGTGCCTTGCCAGAATGAAAATGATTTAATTACGCGGTAAATTTGGTCATTTACGCGGCGAGTGGCTGGAGAGGTCCAGACTGCCGTGCCATTTTTTACCCATGCGGTCCATTCTTGACCATACGCGGGAAGCGGCGCGGTGAGTGGTGCGCATTAGGCCGCTCTTACGTTATTGCTGATGTCACATGACGTATCAGACTGTGATTGGGCCACGCATCCTTGCCTCCCTCCGCCGCTAGCTGTGATTGGCCTAATGTAACATGACGTGCCCTGCCACCAGAGGGTAGAAGTCGCTGACCTAGCAGGGCCTGTCTCATTGTTCTCAGTCCGCGTATACAGTTCTCTCTTGTGCCCGCAATTCCCTTCACAACTCAAAATGGCTTCCGCGGGACCCCCACCACCAGAGAAAAACATTGAATTACCTGGACCAAGCCATGATAATGTTAAGGAAATCATCGAGTTGGAGGAGAAACTTAAGCTCATTCTTGACAACGACCCAGACAAGCATCAGTATGAAGCGTCTAATAACCATCTGACGAAAGTTATGGAGCCGTATATCCAGATCTATCTCGGCAACATCAATGCTAGTCGTCAACGTAGTATTGAGGACTTCCTCGCCTGCAACCCACCACAACCACAGCCAGCCCAAGTCAGTGATAGTGATATTGACAGTGAGGATATGGACTTTGAGAGTTTTGTCTGGGAGGCCCTGCAACCCTCTGAGTAGTGTAAGTGAAAGTGATTCACCGGAGGGCATCTAATCTGCCCTCTGCCTTGGAACCAGCCGCCATCCACGTGTGCCGACCCAGCTTTTCTACTAACGTAAGTATTAAAAAACCTAATATTATTGATATTTCTCTTAATTATTAATTGTGTGTGCATACCATCATAAAATTAAGATGTTATTTTTACTACAACGTAAGTATTGTGTCGGAAAAAGTGGAGTTTGGGGGTCGGCCCAGTCTCTATTTCAATTAATCCCATATGTTCTGTTATTTCATTTACGCGTTTCTGGTTTCACGCGGTACTCCACGGGTTCAATTGACCGCGTAAATGCAGACTATACTGTATATTATGTGCAAATGGGACTTCATGGACAGACCCTGAGCTTCTTGCCGGAGAGCACCTCCCTAAACCCGAGTGTTAAAAGACTTCCTATCAGACAGGAGCATCGTGGTTGAGTGGATACAGTGCTCGCCTCCTGTTCCAGGAGTCTGGTTTGATTCCAAAAAATAATTGAACAATTTAAATAAAGTAGGACACAATTTGTCATAAGATGAAATGTCCACTTTAAGCCAAAATTTCAAGGAAGCAAGGTGGACAGACCTTGTGATTCACCTGCGCCACTCACACTGGTAAACAAAGGGACGTGTCACGCGCCGAGTCATAAATTAGCGTCACCCGTGATAGCATCACTTCTGTTCTCTCGCTCCATCGATCGTGTTTTATTGCCATTTAGACGTGCTGAACTTTATTTTGAAATTTATTTGGCATTGCCAGTACTGTAATGTGATTATGTTGTAGGCTGACGTAGCTTACAAATTTTTGCATTATTATTGAAAAATTAGACAATAACTATGGCCCCTAAGAAAGTGCTTGGTGTCCGTAAGGGTAGCGAACGAAAAGTTACAGTTGATTGTAAAACTAGAAGGTGCTGTTCCCTCGCAAATATGCGCTGAATATGGAATTTCAAAGCAGTCAGTGTTTGATATAAAAAAAATTGAAATATAAGTTGAACAAATATGCCTTGAAATTTAATGTGGACCAGGTAAAATCTGGCATTAAGAGAATGAGGACTTGGAAAAGGCAGTGTATAAATAGTACGTACAACAAGCAACATGCAATTGGAATAGCAGCCAGTGGTGTGGAAATCCAGGCAGCTGCTGAAAGGTTAGCAAAACATATGAATGTAAAGGATTTTCATGCTAATGCTGGTTGGTTATTTAGATTTTGAAGGCACC